CGATGATGCAACAGCACTGTCCCAGCAGACGTCATTTCCCTTCCATGCAAGAAAAAACCAAAGCGTAGCTAACGTTAGTGCACATGTTAAACTGTAAAGCATCAACCATTCATGCTGTTAACTATCTGGATGCCTCATGATTTATGCAAAAACGCTCGATTGCACTGGCAAGCATGGTGCGATGTTAACTGGGTTAATTCAAAAAAGAAATTAATCTTTTTATAACTCCCACATATTCCCAAAATAATTCTATTTCGAGCTCTCAAGGAGATCATGCCTGTATGAATTCGAAATGATGTACAACATTTGCATGCAGTTAGCTTAGGATGCGCGGAGGAAGAAGGTGAGCAGTGTGCTTTGTGTGTTGCACCTCAGAATCACTAAGGGTGGTTAGAGAATTAATCTGGAAATTAACTGCGGTTACTCACTCCTTTCTGCCCATTCACTTCGAAACTGGTAGAGGCACTCATCATTCCACTTGAAATTTCTCGAAAGTAAAAACACTCTTCAGTGACTACTCTATTTTTGTTTATCCACGTTCAGCTGTCACAGTTTTGAGACAAAACAGAATTCCTGCCAACCTCATGTTCCTCCTCGAACAAGTGCTGCTTGTTGTTATCCACATCCGTTTGCTGTTCTACCGCTCCCTGCTCTTTGTTAATTGGCCTCCGCTTTCGACCTTTTTCTACTGAAAACCCTTCCGGTGATCGCGTGTAGCTGATCGTCGATGGGCGTTCTTTCTCGCGCGACTTTGAAACCGTATGATCGAATGTATCCTTCGAAAGAAAGCTCATCGCATTCACTTCTAAAACTCCAAATAAACGCACATCGACAAAGCCCGTGTCTGTTCCACCTGCAAACACCTTAAGGTGATCTCGCTTGACTTTTATGCGTTTTTGCATATTTATGCAAATGCAAAAACGCATACTGGCAAGAGATTATGTGTGCTTATGTGTATGTATGTCTGTATGTGTGTGTATATGCATGTGTGCATGTATGTATGTATGTATGTATGTATGT